AACTTTGGCTGACTGGTAGACATTTCACTTCTCAGATGTGATAGCTGCATTTGAAATGGGCCTATAGTACAAATACTTGTTGGGCTTGAATAATGTCATCATTAAAAAACCTAAACCCTGCACAAAATTCTGACCTGACACATTCACTCATCATTTACACACAAATACACAGAATGATATAAATTATTGAATAATGAATAGTTATCATCATTCACAAGTAAAACTGTCTCTGGAGTGTGGGACCAAACCCAAATTCTCATCATTTGTTGAAAAATATAAGAAACAAAGAAGTGTTACTAAGCTATTTGAAGCGTTAAAAGTAACTAAATAATTGTTTATGCTAATCAGAGTTCGGAAGGACAGGATTTTTATCCTGAATTTATAGGATTTTTTGTGTTTTGAGTAAAGTAAATCTCCAGCATGAACATTATGAATGGGAGGCCAGGATTAAACAATGAAATCCTGTACTTCCTCTCTTCTCCTCCCATCGTGGTCTACTTTTCTTCCAAAAGCGTATCATTGCCTCTTTACCCCTTCTACCCTCTTCCTCTGTAATTTCCTCTCATCCAGATCTTTATCTCTTTTCTTCAGTCTCTCTACCTCGGATCCATTATTTCTCCTTCATCTTTTGACTGCCTTCTAAATATACATGTTGTCCTTAAATCATAAAACTGTTAAAGAGGTGCGGTTTGAGAAGAGATACATGAACAGTTCGGCAAAATGTTAATGGTCCAGTGTGTAACATTTTATCATTTATGAGACTTGGCAGAAATGGAATATCATATTCATAGGTATGTTTTCATTAGTATATAACCACCACATGATGCATGAAGGCAATATAAGAAAATATGAATGCATACTGCAAAGTTTCTCGTGGGCATGCTGCTGTGGCTCATACAGCATGCACACCATAGGAGGAGATACGGCGAAGGAGAAGAGGATGCAGAGCGGGAGTAAAGCGCAGACAGTGGAAATAAACCATGGTTACATGGAACGTAAGATCTCTCCCCAACAAGATGGAAGAACTAACGGCGTTAATCCGGCTGCAGAGGGAGTACCGGGAATGCAGCCTCATGTGCTACACAGAGACGTGGCTGAGTGAACTTTCTCCTGACTCACACGTCACCCTGGACGGATTTCAAGTTGTACGGGCGGACAGGAAAGCAACGGAGAGCGGTAAGAAGAAGGGAGGAGGAATCACTGTGTTTGTGAATGAAAGATGGTGCCACCCAGGACACATCAGTGTTAAGGAGCAACTCTGCACCAGAGACTTGGAGCTGTTAGCCTTCCAAGAGAGTTTTCACATGTTATTGCTGTAACTGTGTACATCCCTCCCTCGGCCGTCGCTGCTGCAGCTACAGATCAGATCCACACTGTCGTCTCCCAGCTTCAAAACCAGCACCCCCAATCCCTCCTCCTCATCTCCGGTGACTTCAACCATGCTTCCCT